CAAGTTGTCCCTTTTTTGAAGTATTCTGGTTAGTCAGTGGTGTTTGTTACAAATGACAGAGAATTCCCTGGATTATGCAGACAAGATCAATCATCCTATTGTTTGACCATCTGGCTGATTTCAGATTTGTACATGATTGTCAAAATACAGTTTGACATAATCTGGTGTATGTGGCTGCTAAACTGGAAACTGTTCTGTATCAATATTCAAATATGATTGGAATAATGAAATAAATAAATAAATAATATCTTTGAAGAGATCGGATGAAAAGGAGCATGATGCTTCAGAGAAACATTCTCTGTTCTTTTAAGTTCGGTCATTTGACCCTCTGGTACAGACCGCATTTCAAAGAGTGACCCATTATACATCAGAGTGCTCCCTTCTTTTTTGTGCCATAAGTTGCTTAACCACATGTTTCTAATCTTGGTCTCAGAGAGAAATGTTAGGACCTCATAGGCAGATTCTCAGCTGGTGTAAAAGGTCATAGCTCTATCTACACATGTTCAGTGGAGCTATGACAATTTTTATCAACTGATGATTGAATTCTATGGGTATTGTGAGTTTGCCAGGAGAATGGGGTGTAGGCTTGTTTTTCTGCTTTCCAATAATAGCTCATGGGAATGCAGTGTACGGGGAAGAGATGCTAAGACAGCAATGTAGTTCACAACCAAATGGTTTCTTTTAATATATGGCATTGGTCTTTACCTACCTGTGGTGCAGGAATTCCACACTTGCTCCAAACCCCAGATTTCTCATCTAGAACTGCCATATATGGCTGCCAAGGTAGTCGGCTGGACTTCAGAAGTTCATAACATCCTTCTATTTAAAAAAATGTAATTTTAAATTGTATGATTGAAAGTGAATGTTGTGTTGCAGTACGGAGGTAAATATGCATAATTGTTGGCAGGCTTTCAATTTTGATGGAAAATGCCATTTTTAGAGAGAGAGATAATGGAGGAAAATATTTCCCTTTGCAGTTGATGAATTTTTTTTCTTCATAGCAATATACTGTGTGACATAACTTGGCAAAATACACAACTTGGGAATCACAGTCCAAAAACATTTCTTCTAGCAAAAGCATTCTATAAATCTCAGGAATGTTTTTGACAGCCAGTCATTCCAGATGTAGAATAGACATTTAGAGCAATACTTGTTTTGTTCACTTCTTAGTAGAAAATAAGTTTTTTAAAAAATATAAACCCATGCTGGTTTTATCCAGGGCATCCTTTTCTGAATACAGGAATATTCTGACCAGTGATAGTCACACTATCTAGTCTCCTTTGTCTCCTGTAAATCTTCAGTTTAAGCACAATGCATAAATAATTATCTGCTCACTGCCATATGATACCTATTAATTTTATTTGGTGGTGTGCGCACCCTGCATTTTCAGAAAGAGGCCAAATTCTGCTGTCAGATATGCCTGCACAGCTCTCACTCTGGAATTGCACACTCCTTTGAAGGCACAAATTGGTTTGTGCTGCTTGAATTTCTTCACAAAAACTCTTTTGCTATCTTGCCTATGTACTACTAGCAACAGGCCAGATTGCACCATTACAAGGGTGAACTGGGTCATAAGGCCTCACTGCTTGTGGTGCTATTTCTTTCAGTACCACTCTATGCCCATGTCTCACAAATGAGGGGGAAAGGGCAGAGAGAAAATCTGTCCCCCCATTACCTCCACCGCAACCAGTTCAATGATGTGGCTGTGTTTGTGTATGGGTTGCCAGGTGTCCGGTTTTCTACCAGCCAGCCTGGTATTTGCACCCTTTGTCCAGTAGAAAAATTCAGAAAATACCGGACATGTGCAGTGTCCACACACCACTGCACATGTCCGGTATTTTCTGAATTTCCATCTGGGCACCCAATGGAAGCCTGGTGGGGGCGAAGAAGCAACTGGGAGGCGGGGTGCGATTGGCGGTGGGAGCCCTGTGGTTGCGTGCCTAAGCCAGGCGGGGTGGGGGCAGTGGCTGGGACTCCCAAAAATTCAGAAAATACCGGACATGTGCAGTGTCCACACACCACTGCACATGTCCGGTATTTTCTGAATTTCCATCTGGGCACCCAATGGAAGCCTGGTGGGGGCGAAGAAGCAACTGGGAGGCGGGGTGCGATTGGCGGTGGGAGCCCTGTGGTTGCGTGCCTAAGCCAGGCGGGGTGGGGGCAGTGGCTGGGACTCCCA